TCTGGACGTTGATAGTTGAACAGCCTTGAGGTCTCTGCAAACGACAGAAGACAATCAAGCTCCCCGGAAACATCGCATGCGCCTCCGATAGCTCCGTCGGATGCCAACACTTCTTCGAGGAGCTTCTGCACTATCTCCAACTCTCTATCAACAATAGTAGAATGTAGGTCACCAATGTGGCTGTCCATGTCTGCTTGATAGATAAGATCAAGCCTCACATGATATCAGGCATTTACCGTGCATTTGTGACGACTTGAAGTAGACGTGCGCACTTGTGAGTTCTCCGCATCAGCTCAAGAGGCAACGTTAAGAAGAAACTGGAATATACTCAGAAGAGAACTACCAAGGAAATCAGGACAGAGATCGAGAGCAAAGATAGAACGAGCGTACTTGAAATGACCAACCCTCAATTGGTTGAATGCCAGCCTCTGAGCGCCATTCCTCTAACATCGGGACACATATGAGATAACCTTCAAAGATGATCAGTCACTTCGTCAGTGGAAACAGGGAATAAACACACCTAGCTGAGGGAAGTAGACAACATTGAGAGAGGCCGCGAAATCGGGTGGGACGGTATCGGCAATTTGTTCTGCAACGGTTGACTACGCAGAAGTCAGCTAGTTTGCAACCAGCTAAAGATGCCGAGTTACCAGAATTGAATCGATCCCGTGATAAACATGCTTTCTGTTGTCCAGGTCTTCATCGATATGAGGTCGCACGCATACACGTTCATTGGTGGAAGATTCTTCCCAATCAATCTAGAGAAAGGTCACTAGATGGAATGCGGAAGGTTGAGAGTGAATACGCACGATCTCGTTGATTCTGCTACCCAACTCCTTGAAAGTTGCAGTGTCCAAGGCTCGAATGAGCTGCAACCACAGATACTCAGTCCATGATAAAAGATTGGCAACACAAGGACAAACCTTTTTCACAACGTCGATTCCACTTGCCTCATGCAGCTCAGACAATGAGTCTCTGAGCATTGTTGCGTGGTATGTAAACTGTAGCATGATAGGTGAGCTGCTGTGCTGAGAGCAGTAGAGAATGATTGGAACCTTGACAAGACCTTGCCAGTCTACTAGTTTGGATTTCCCAGTCCTCATCAAACCCATGATTCTGGGTATATTTTTGAGACCCTTGAGATGCGTTCGGAGGAGGCTAGCTGAGGATAGATTTTCGGGTCGCACGAAGCATCCCACGGCATCTAAACGATCACGAATAACTTGTAGGGATAGCGAAGGCCTCAGTAGCCATGTCCTGAGAAGAGTACGACCCAAGGTGGTCTTGGTATTGTTCAAAATCCCTGGTAATGATCTTCTCGGTAATACTAAGATTGAAAGGTCACTATATCAAGCTTACCGAAGAGCGACAAGCCTTCTTTCGTCTTGTCAGAGTGAACAGAAGCATGACTTTCATTTTCAAATACTTGGAGAGACCTAGAGTGCTTCCAACGTCAGCTTGGTAATAATTGTTGTTCAACAGGCGACCAACAGCAGGGCATCTGCATTTATTTGCATTACTTGATCTCTGGAAACCTTTCTCATCAATGTTTCCGAGGACAGAAGCAGAGCACAGGTCCTTACAGCGATAAAATCTCTATATCGCAGATATCCAGACTGCCAACGCCGTCGTCATCGAAATCGGTTGAGGCACGTTCTCGAACGATATGATCCAGAAGTGCGCCAACAGAAGCCATCTACCAGGCATGAACATGGGAACCAACGATTCGAGGCAGAGACGCTTACACAAAGAGGGGCAGAGTCAACTGAAGCGAAGTTGGACAACCTAACGGAGGCATTCCAGCGTTTGGCCGTTGGGTCGCCTGTTACCTCACGTCTCGACCGCATGAAATCATAAGCATTGTGAGGACGGTCGCGAGAGGAGTCTGAGCCAGTGTCAGAAGATGGTGGAAGGACATGGTCGTCGGATGCTAGTGTGGCAAAACGGCTCAGCGATAAAAGTCTACTCTTTCCCTTAGAAGCCGCGAAATCTTTGCAAGGGCGGATTTGAAACAGGGAATCCTTCCCTTCCACTAAAAGCGATGAAGGTGATGCATATACTTATGCACTGAAGAGAGATCTTATACGTACTGTGACCGTTCAACGCATCAATGAATTCGTCGTCTGACCTGGTGCTTGTCAAAACGACGTCCGCATTGACTTGTTCCAGCACTAAATGATTGTCAGTGTGGAGTTGTTGGTTCTATGAAATCCTTACACATTTGTGTAAGATCGAAGTGTAGAGTGTCCTGTGTGTCTTCTAGGAGGGACAGCACCCTTGTATTTGGGTCGTAGTATGCGCATCCGAGGCTGCCGCTTTATGGACTCCGTTTAGAAGATATAAAATGGATGACTACATAAGTCCATACTGAGAGCACAGAGCAGCTAGGCAGGTCTGTTGGGTCTGTCGGGTTTGTCAACATGCTATAAAAAGTTGGATTGCGCTTACACTCACCTTTTCAGAGGGTTCGGAAACCTCTTCGTCCGAACTTGCCTCTGAGTATTCGTCCTGAAGCGTCAACCCGCCTTTGCCTTGCCATCTGACTCTCTTTCCATCCGGCCTGTCTGAAGGGCTCCCGCTTTCGTTGCTAGAATCATCCGTGTCATCCGATGTACCTCGGCCTTCCGCACGAATCTGCTTGCGCTTTGGCATTGTCCACTGAAGCAGGCGATACAATCAGATAGGAGGGTTAGAGGATACTGACTTAAGTATGAGCCCAATGTGTCGGTTGTAAGTATCAAAGACTTAGTATCAATCGGTGGTGGTGTGACAAAACAACGCAGTCACAGAACAGGAAACCAACTGGGCGGGCGGATACAGCCGAGATAGCCAATTTTGGAAGTAATAACCAAGCAGGTATTCGTGCGGCAGCAGTTTCATTGGGTTTTGTATAGCTAAAGAGGAATGAAGTGCAGCGAAACAGAGAAGAGGAAGAGAAACATGAAAGCAGGGAACGGGAAGAAGCTAACTTCATAGGGTGAAGTGTCGATGACAAACATACTAGATAGCAGGGCCTGCTCAAGATGCTCACGCATAGCCAGTCTTTCCAGACACCACGCCGAAGGTCGGTCCACCTTTTCCAAACATTTTCCGGAGGTCATCGACGAGTTCCTGCGGTTTCTCATGGGCGGCGAAATGACCTCCGGTTTCATGACTTGATTCAAACACGAGATTTGATGCCTTCAACCACCTGGAGATAATGTCCGATTAGCACATCGTTGTATCGAAACGCAAAACATCGATGCTCACCTTCTAGGAAGGACAATCAGTTCCTTGGGGAAGTACGAGTGGCCCATAGGAATCTCCGTGAGCTCTGCCTTGGTAGACAGAGTCGGGTATGCCTTGTTGACTTCGTAGTAGATACGAAGGGAGGCAGCAGGGCCAGCCCGTGAAAACCAGTAGATGGAAACCCATGTGAGAACTGATGTGCTGGTCAGCGTGTTTCAAACCAGGTCCCAACTTTAAACGTACCTTCATCGTCTTCCCAAGGATAGCTATCAGTCCATGAGACAAGTTTTTCGTAGATCCAAGCCAGCAGTCCGGCGGGCGAGTCGGTAAGACCGTAGCCAAGCGTTTGCGGCTGGGTAGCTTGTTCCATGAAGTAGCCAATTTCATGATCTCTGTACCACATCGTTCTCTTTAATCCTTCCTGTTCTGCAGGTGCGTAACTGAACAGAAGGTGCGACAATAGGAGCAGCGGCCGGTGGATAGGGTGAGGTGGAGGTGCCCTATGAGAAACAAGCCGCGTCGGGTGAACCCCTCCATGCATCTGAAGAAAAAGGAAGGATATTTACATAGGAAAATTAGTGTGCCAAGCCTTGCTATGCTTCTTGCCATAAAGCTGCGCTATTTTCCGGGTAATCTACGAGGGAATTTCAATAAGGATTTAAGCTTATTGATAGAGTTGTATGTACTAGACCGCCCCAGTCTCCGCCTTGCGTGACTATTTGATACAGAAGGTCAGTGAATGACAATCCGAGAACATGAGATACGACTATACCGTATTCATTATACCCTAACGCAAGCATAAGCTTGTTCCCGACCTGGTGAGGATGAATCCTTGAGTTTTCAGCCATCCTAAAAGTAAGAGCCCTACCTCCGCAAATTGCGTGAGTTCGAAACCTGGCTTCTTTGGAGCTTCGGAAAATCCGTAGCCGGGAAGACTGAAGGCAACAACATGAAAACTTGGGTGTTCAGGAGACGCCTCGACGAGGCGGGGAAGGATCTTTCTAGCTTCGTAGAAGCTGCCGGGCCCTGTTGTCAAAATGCTTTTCAGCAGGTCGCGGTGAGACAGAGGACGCCATGACTCACATCCATGAACGAACAGCAAAGGGATAGCATCGACGACGTCACTCTTCTTGTGGACATAGTGCACACTCAATGTCCCAAATCCTTCTACTTCTATATCTCTCGTAAACTGAGGCAGTTCGTCATTCAACTGGGCTTCGTGTTTCTTCCAGTCATAACCATGCTGCCATCTAGCGACAAGGCGTCGAAGGTCTGCAAGAGGCACACCGTAGTCTCTGCCTGCGTCCTCCAATTCATCCGGGAACACTGTGAGATCTAACTTCTTTTTCAGAAGCTCGATGCTGGCGTCGGGAACCGCGATCTTGAAGGGTTGTTCTGCCATAGATGATGGGGGTGGAAAGGGTGACTAAATTGAGTCAAGGAGGTGGCGGTATTTGAACGAAAGAATTCGTCATGTGCCATTCCCAGGAAGATGTTTCGGAAACGCGGTTTGCAGAGGTGATGGCAGTTGTAAAGTACGGTGCGAGAGGTTGTAAGACCGCAGTTTCGAGAATCCGTGGAATATATGACGAATACAAAAGCATCTGAAGTCATCGCCTTGGTATAACATAGCACCTAAAGCGACCATGAAGGAGAATTGGAGGTGGTTCGCTGATCTGGGCGGAAGTGTGAGTTGACTGTTGAAGCGTAGGGAAATGTGGGAACATCCATCTGAGAATGCGTGACGTAATGCCTTGGCATTGTCTGACACAGGTGCGCGTCAAAGTGAGGTATGTAAGTGCGTCTCGTCTACATAACGGTAAACTGGATGCATTTTCTTCATATACACTACAAAGCGCGGAGATTTCTAACAGCACCAGGTAATTATTTTCACAATGCAAGACGGTCTGGGAGCTCCAGACTCCAGTCAACTTGATGGCGCGGTTCGGCGCACTGAAAGGAACAGGCAGCTGGCACAATATCAGTAGAATCCAATATTGAGGGGAGGTTTCCCCTCGACAAGTCACCTATGGACAATACTTAACTGCTGGTAAAATATGACCACTGCGAACCAACAAAAGTCATTTCTAGTTTGACGTTATGTTCAGACTGCGCACAAAAACTCACCCCAGTTCTAACAAATATAGCCGCTTGGATAGCGATCTCCATATCTACTGCCATGTTGACATCTTTGCCTTCCTGATCGACACCAGATCGTGGTTGATTACGATGACCCTCCGTTACCCTTGAGAAGAGATTTCACCCTCTCGAGCCATTCCGTTTGGTCGTCGGTCAAGACAGAGGAATGAATTTGTCGGGAAGAAACTCCAGGAGGTTCCAGCTGTAGAATGTTGAGTTCCAATTCGCCAGTGACATGCATGCTTCCTGGTAGTCGCCTCTCCTGAGATGGACCGTCAACATGCGTCGAAAAGGGTCGAGAATTCCCTCCTCTCCTTCTCTCAGAAAAAACATGAATGACTGGAGACACTTTTAGCAAATGGGAAACAGGGGACGTGGAAAAGTCTTCCCATAGAGATAATACCCTCGCTGATCTCAAAAGCCATAGATCGAAGATCTGCGGATGAGAATCTTCCGATTCTTCGGACAACTCTGCAGCTTGAGTTTCGGCGCAAGATTCCGGCGCTTCAAGTAATATTTTCTGCCAGGCTGCAAAAACTTCGGTTCCAGTCGCGTTCTCCAAAGGCGGCTTGACGTCCCGTGTGTTGGCGATGCGCCGTTCTTGTAGTGGGCAAACGATATCGAACCATGTTTCAGATATGGAACGAGGCGTGCTATCTCCTGTTTCCCAGGCCTCTCCGAAGAGTAGTCTGCTAGGAGAGCTGGAGTGGGGCTTCGTGGAGGCCAGTCGGTTGACTCGTTCTTCGGCCAGGGGTACTGTACAGTAGCGCGAACGAAGTCGGAGAACACGTACGCCCGTTTTGATTTGTACGCAAGAAAGGAATATGGCGACGCACGCTTGGTTTAACACATTATTCCAACTTAGCTGCTGGATTTGACATGAAAACTTCACATATCGACCATGCCTTCCCTCAGGGTTAGGAAGATCCAAATTATGTTGGGGCAGCTGGGTGATCCATTTCCGTAAACCCCGATAAGGAGGATGGTCGTAGTTAATATGTGGTATGAGCAGGTCTGCCCCCAACGTGCTATTTGCCGTTGAAGAGATATTCACGTTGGTAGGGGATGTTGAAATTGTAGAAGGGTATAATCAGGGCACGAAGAACGACTCGTTGTCGGGAGTGTACTCGTTGAAAAGCTATTCCGACCAGAAGGCAACTTGGTGGTGGAAAAGAACGATGGAAGGAACACCAACGAAACCAATCAATGGCCCAAGGAACGTCCGTGTGCCTTTCTTGTACAAAAGCCGAAAGACGTTGACGCCAGGACTGGACGCCCTACGCATGGACTTGTAGCAGTAGCCTCACTCTCGCCTGGGCTACAGGCCGAGGAACACACAGGAGGGAAAGAAGACAGACCGTACCACCTGTAGGAGCCTAAGTACCAGGACCTGTCGCTGGTGGGAACAAACTGGCAGAAGAACGGCCTCCAACTCAAGTCAGACCTCGATCTATCGCCGCTTCCACCGGTGCTGCTAGCGCAAGCCTAGGCTCAGTGTGAAGGTAAATTTGCCGCATTTTATGCTTTTCATGATCTCTTGTAGTTCGATGAATGCGATCTCATCCATACGAATTTCAAGGTTATCCCTAGTATAGCCGAGGTTGGGCTGAGCTTTTGCTGAGCTCTGAAAGATGATACGGTAGTGACGTGAAGGAGAAGGTGATGTAGGGTGAAGTTCATATGTGTTGTTTCTTGATGGAATCCATTCTGTTTGCCTTTCTCACGTGCCACCAGGAAGGCTTGATAGATAAGTAGTACATGAACTATCTTGTCACTGTTGCCATCTTCTAGACATGTCGAATTTCAATTTAATGAACATAACATGATACTTTTGAAGCGGAAGTCCGGATTGGAGAGATTGGTCTTGCAGCACTGAAGTTTTGTCTCATGCCAGATAAGAACCTAAATGCAGCAGAGGCTTCAGTCATCACGGGTTGAAGATAGAGGGGGTGGGGATCCCAACATAGGAGAAGCTCCGTACAGCATGCAACAAGTGAAGCCTACTGGGGTTGTTGAACATAGAATTTCGCCTCCGCCTTCGCATTCTCCAAAAATTCCGTCTTTCCTGCTTTCGGTTTCCATCCTAGAGCTCTGGCTCGATCCGCCTTGGGATGACAATTCGTACCGAAATATTGTCGCACTGACTGCAGAATGGTGGTCATGATCGACGGCTGTATCATAGTACATTTGAATCAACACACGTACCTCAAATACCTTGCTACCTTCTTCTTCGATAGTGAAAGTGCTTGGTTCCCGAGTACTTCCAACACCGAGGTCGACCAAAGCGTCTGAGATGGCTGCTGCGAGCTCGATGGACGTGTATTCGCCATTTTCGGCGAAATAGTATCCACTGGGGACTCCGTTAGGGTTCGCTTGAATGGCCTCGAACAGCAGAAGGTACAGATCGGCAGCTAGGGCGGGCGTTACCCAACTGCAAATAACATGCATTTTTTTGGTACGTACTGTCTTCTACGTCGACCAGTGGCCATTTGTTCAACCCTTGTCCGAAATACCCTCCTTGTTTTCGTCGGATTGCTGCTTCGATCAGGAAAGGTAAAGATACCGAATGCAAATTCTGTATGCCGATGTCGACGAAAGGACCAACAGGATATCCGAAAACAGTGCCTGCAACGAAAATAAGATATTTCTCATCCTTCTCAATTTCCATTGACTTACCTGGAGTAACAATATATGCTCTGACATATCCAGCCTTGTCAGCTTCGAAAATGGGGACGTCAACGTGCTGATGAAGAGCAGTTTTCGGGATAGCCGCAAGCTTTTCGACGTCCAAATCACTGAATGGAATATCCTCGTCCGCAAGGCCTCGAATATCCGACGACATCACAAAGCCTGTCCCTGACTAAGGGGGCAAAAAATATTCCTGAGATATATTTTTTTTCGGTGAAGAAATGGGGAACATACGGTATGAATCAAGACAGGCGGTTTCCCAAAAGCCTCGTATTTCAATTTCAGACCATCGAGGATAGCTTTACTTGGCGGTAAGTTGTCTGCGTCGACCTTCGTAGTCAACAGTCAGATCGAAGGCAACACAGTTTTCAAGTTTTCAACGTACAAGGGAGAAAACGATATCGGATTTTGCAGCAGCGTCGGTCAAAAAGGTAAGGTCTTCGTCGGTGTATGAACCAATGATAGTGTCGACACCAAAAAGTTGGAGTTTCTGTGCTTTGTCCTCAGAGCGAACGAGGACTGTAATGTGGGATGATGCAGCATTTTTGTGCCAGAGTAGACGCGCAAGAAGGCTACCTCCAATGTATCCTGAAAGAGAGGGTTAGAGTTATGCCACCAACGAGATGGCCCAACCCGCACCTGTAGCTCCGGTAAAATGGGGCTGCGGTAGCTCAGGTGGCACTATTGTGGACTTACCCCCAGGCTTGCGTTGAGCTCTTGAGTTCGATTCTCGCTGGTTGCATGGATAAACACACTTTAGCTTTAGACACCATGTGACTTTTCCACGCCCCCGGATGACACCGTCTGGGCCTCTGTATTAGGGAGCGACTATGTCTCGCGTGTTCTAGACCCAAGGGTCTGGAGTGACCGTACCTATGCATGCTCACATAATGATATCAGGGTCACCTGGTTCTCCTTAGTCATCGAAAAAATGACTATGCCAGGAAGGGAAATAGGGAGCCAAGGGACAAGGTTGTGTGGATCTGCCGCTATGCGGCGAGACGGCTAGAGCCGACCCTTCGGGACAAGGTTCACATGATCTGCTGGAGCCTGCTGGGCGTTTCGGTGCGCTGACTTCCCAGAGTACATAAAGCAAACCAGCGAGACGGCTAGAGCCGACCCCGAGGCATTAATACCAAAGTACTGGAGGGTGGGAGTGAAACTACATGAAACAGCTAAAGTCATCTCCTAACACGGACCGCCAAAGAATCGCGTGGCACGTGAATAATGGAACAAACCCAAACCCATAGGGAGGTTGTGTTGGATGCCGGTCACACAAACGGCTGCTTTCGGGAGCTAGGGCGTTACTATGTGCGAATATATGCAATCTTATGCTTAGGTATATCGAAGCCCTGATTAGTGTAAATAGTTATGGGATGTCACGATAATTGGTATGATCACGGACACTTAGGGTATTACTTAGGTCACGCCCGAGGATTGGATGTTCCCTTACGGTCATGTACGGAATGATCCTCGTAAATCAATAAAGAACCACATTCTTGTAGCTCCGCATCAGCAAATCCTGATTTTGAGGGTCAAAATGACCTCGATTTCTGCGTTATAGTGTGCTATGGCGCGTTACGTAGCGCTACGTAACGCGCTATAGCGCTGTAATGCATCTTCTTGTCTATCGGGATGCTTCCCAATTTACAGAGTGCTACGTACCTTCGTATAGCACCCATAACGCAATCAGGAATTGCCGATGCGGTAAAGAAAATCTGCAACTTATCAGCCATGGGGGTGAGCATTTATGATGGTGAAAGATATCCTGGCGAGAACTGTACCTTTATACGTCTCCCCAAGCATTGGTCGATTACTAAAAAATGGCACTGATGAGCAGTCCTCATAGTCCTGACGAAGACGCCGCAAGGGAAAGAAAGTTAGTATTGTTAAGCCGGTTTGTAATCCATTTTGATTAATTCCTAAAGCTTGGTTGACTCGGAAGCGCGGGGCCTCGTGGGGGCTTAGTGCTTAACAATCATGAGGAAGGTTGACTCGGAATCAGGGTTTGCACATAGACCAACCAGTCTGCAGTCGCTAATAAGGTCGAGAAGCCATGAAGGGTGTCGAGACATACCATTACAACAGACTCCGACGTAAGTACTCCGAAGTGTTCCTCTTCAGAACACGTTAGGCTCGGGCGTGATCCCAGCAACATCAAAGAGTGCTTCTGAGATTGAACTCGCGAGCTGGACGCCAGAGAGCTGAGAATTTTCTGCGAAATGGCAGCTACGACGAAGTTCAGCCACCTTGGCTCGGATTGCATGCAAGAGAATGAAAAATAAATCGAAATCGGCAACTGAAACGGTAGAACTCCGTCAGCTAACATGCCCGAAGAGCAAAGAAGCGGCCATGACCGATTTTCTTCGACATGGTCAATCGACAGGTTGTTAACCTCTTGCTGGGATAACCACCTTACTTGCGCGGAATGGGTGCTCTCGAAAACAATGAAGTGTGCACTCTCAGGTACTTCACACTCACGCAGTATAAACCCTGACGCACACAGATCCATAAATGCAATTGGCTATTATGAACAAAAAAAGTACCGACCAATGGCTCCGAACGACCTTCCTCGAAGGGCGTAACGCAAGAAAAAAGAACCAATGCTTCGTCATTTATCATGCAGAACACATTTTAGGTCAAGCAACTACTGCTGCTGCTCTGCGAAGAACTTCACTTCCGACTTGACGTCGGCGAAAAATGCCTCCTTTCCGTACTTGGGTTTCCAACCTAAAGCTCGGCCGCGGTCGGCTTTGGCATAGCAATTGGTGCCAAGCAGAGGCCAGAAAGCCTGACGACACGACAGTGTTGAACTGGTTAGCAGTCGGCTATCTATCGGCAGACAGAATCAATGACATACCCCAAAGTATTTCTCGCCCTCTTCAACAGTGAAGCCGCTGGGTTTAGAGTCCGTGCTAATACCCAGTTTGACCAAAGTCTCCGCGATCACGGTGGAGACCTCAAGGGAGGAATAGTCGAAATTCTCTGTAAAGTAGTAGCCACGAGGGACTTTGTCCAGATTGGCTCGAATAGCGTCGAACAGAATGAGGTACAGATCGGCATCTGTGAAGGTAAAAGCCAGTCAGCCAGAGATAATAGTATGAAATTCAATGCGAAACATACTGTCTTCAACATGCACTGCTGGCCATACATTCAACCCTTTGCCAATATATCCTCCCTGTTTGCGTGCGATGGATGCTTTGGCGAGCCATGGAATCACCATAGTGTGGCCGTTTTGAATTCCGAGTTCAATAAGAGGTCCTTCAGGCCTTCCAAAGACGGCGCCTAGAAGGATGTATTCGTTCTTGGGTCTGTCTTCAAGTGTATAACAACTCACTCGGAGCAACGATGTACGCCTTGATGTAGCCTGCTTCCAAGATGGGGATGTCTACGTTCCGATGCAACGTAGTCACGGGAAGAGCGTCGAGCTTATCTGTTTCAGTGTCGCTATAATGAATGTGCTCGCTACTGAGGCCTCGAGCATCATCTATAAGGAGGCCTGAAGGGTGCTTGAATGTAAGCTTATGACGACGGGTAATGTCCTGCTTACTGACCTGTGCCAGACTACGAGAAAGAACATGAGCATCCCGAAGAGGCATAACGGAGACAGGAGCACGGACTGTATGAATCAAGATCGGGGCCTTGCCAGATGCTTCGTACCTCAACTTCAGCCCGTCGAGGATGGCTTGGGCAGCAGGAAGGTTGTCGCAGTCAACCTGCACGTTTGTGAAATATGAATACCTCGGAGAGCACTGATACAAGCAAGGTGGGACCCACGGCAGTGATAACCACATCAGCCTTAGAGGCCGCTTCTTTCAAAAAGGTAAGATCCTCATCGGTGTATGATCCAATGATGGTGTCAACCCCAAGGGTCTTAAGCTTTTCCGCTTTGTCGGCGGAGCGCACGAGTGCAGTGATGTGGAACGAGGCGGCGTCCTTATGTTTGAGGAGGCGTGAAAGGACACTACCCCCTATATAACCTAGAAGGCGAATAAGCACTTAAATACGACAGTCAAGAGGTCGTTTACGGGCCTGTGACTCCAGTGAAGAATATGTTCAGTTTGCCGGACATATTGTATCGCTAGTTCCGAGATGGGATATTTCGAGACCTGGAGAATAAGCATCTGAGAATGAGCCAATTTATACCACCCCACGGCGGCACTACAGTCAACATCTATACGTCGGTCTGCCGATGAAAGGCGTAAGTAAGTCGTTGTCCAGCTTTCCTGATTAAAGCTCGGACTTACAAAGCCGCTAAGAGTCGGGATTGATAATGTTTTTCTTAAGCAAGATTTCGTTCAACCGTCAATAAGGGCGGTACGTCCTCCAGTGCCATGATATATGTTGACGCAAAGGTAAGATGTAGAAGGTAAATTGCCAAAAAAGGTACAAAGCATTTCAACCTTGAAATCTTGTTCATGCCATTGGTAAGGGTTTAGGCAGCTTAGCAATCGGGGACCCGAGAGATACCTCTGAGATGGACTGGAGCGTCGCCAGTGCCAGGCCTCGCGGAATAAGGATCGCCATTCTACGAGATATCTCGAAGAAGGAGCGGAACAGGTCATAAGAGTAATTCCGTTTTGAGTGATGGTCGATCTGCTAGGTGGACAACGCTGTACATATTGCGCATCGCATATCATCAACACCAGAGCTTGTTCTGCAACCGAATGCACTCACCAAGATTGCCCAAAGGGACTACGTTTCCTGCTTCAAAGAGGTAAATATCAACGAAGAGACTTCCAACATACTGCAGTTCCCTGAAGGCGAGATCATCCTCGCCATAAACTCTGGAACCTCAGCCGATGAACCACAAGTAGTGCATTGGGAAGGAGAAAGCGATTCATGCAAAGGATAAATTAACATGCACAACATACTGGAAGAGAGAGAAAAAAACAAATGGATAGGATGCTTGGAAAGTCCAAAGCGAACAAAGGGCGTATAACGACATGCGTGCAGCGAGCATAGCTTGGACCGATGGTGAATGCGAGCCATACGGATGCCTGGGGCTTCAAGCTTCAAGGGCTACTCTGCAAGAAAATGTTCATCGAAATGTCCGTCTGCACCTGAAGTTGGCACAATGCATCTGGTATACTCCCGGTTCTCTTCGTACTCCTTCATCCGCCACTCGAGTTCTCTCAACCACCACTCTCCTGCGTTTCGACTGTCACAGCACTCCAACCCTTCAGCACTGCCAACAGTATCAATCTAATTGGCCCATCGAAGAAGATTGCATGACAGACCTTCATAGCCTGAGACTTCGTGTTCATGATGAGGGCAACAATGAGGCCTAAGCGGAGGTATAGGCGATGTTCACTGTTCAGAGTCGAAGAACCTACCGTAGAGACCCAAGACTTCGGCAAAGATGAGGATGAGGATCTGTGAAAACGGTATGAACACACCCGGTCATTGAAAAAGGAAAGCACCAGAAACGTACCATGCCGACGAAGAGCCTAGGTTGTTGGGCAGTGCCACGGACACCAGCATCACCAACAATTCCGACAGCGAAACCAGCAGCAAGACCAGCGAGACCGACAGCAAGACCAGCTCCGAGTTGAGTGAAGCCTTGGGCAAGAGACATCGAGGATTGCACTGGATTCGCATCAAAAGAAGTCGCTCAGGAAACTGACAATATGTAAATAGGAGTCGAACCACATACGGTCACCAGCAATGAGGACCGACACGACGAGTCCGTAGATCTAGTTTGAGAGCATATGGTTAGTTGGAGTAGTCCGAATGCACAGCTGGCAGCCAAAGAGCGCTAGTACAGCTGCGGGCGCAAGGGGCTGACTCACAGCAATAATACCAGCCATAATAACGGGTACGACACACTTCATCATAAGGTCGGGTCGGAGGACGGACATAGCTGAGATTCCAACGCCAGATTTTGCGGTACCATAACTGTCCGTAGGGAGAAGAAAGGCACGGGTCGGTAAGTATAAAGTGGGACCCGAGCCAAAACCACCTCATTACCTGGCACCAATGCCTTTCCACACGCGATACCGTTCTTATTAGCACCCCATACGAGCAGCCACACCCGGTCTGAGACTGTAGAACTTACAGGTGAAGACAATTGCGCTTGTGCAGCCCTATTGGACGAGAAGAGTAGACATCGTTAACGGTACGCCAGCAGGTGGTCGGACACTCACCATAGCACTGAAGAAGGGGGCATAGACGGGGCAGAGGTCGGAGGACATGATGGTGGCAGACTAGTTGGCAACTAGTGGAGTTACACGAGGAGGGAACGGTTGAGTTTAGGAAACGTAGCGCTTGTCAAAATCAACAATCCGCCAAGCCGTTGTTTGGGGTCGGCGTTGGCCGGCATTTCGAGCTCCGCCAGACAGATCATGTGGGGCGGGCACCAGGTATTACAAATCCTCTGAACACAGCCCGACCGCAGCTATAGAATATACTGTACGTAACCGGTTACTCGGTCACACCAGCTACTCGGTCATTGCCTTTGTAGATGGCACAGTTGCTCGTTTCACTCCATTCTTTTTGTGCACTCATGTATAATAGTATCAGAGCAATGTAACTGCATTTTTTGGCGGACAGAGCACCATTCCTCGCGGAGAAATGAGCCTCCCTTTGTGTCTGGTGACGTGTGACGCCCAATTTCCTTATTTGATACCGTGTTTCTGGTGGTCCCGGAGGGCTTTTCTCGATGACATGACACACTGCCAGGAAGATACTTCGGACTTAAGAATTTCATAGTGACTACTGTATAATTAAGCAAATTTCTCTTATGTTGAAGGATTGCTGCACTTCCGACCTTGAAAATTGGAGAGTGTGTCATTTTGGAGGTGGATTGGACTGTTCCTGCTGATTTCTCTTAGTATAAAGCATCCATTGTGTAAACAAAGAGGTGAAATGAATTTTGAGGCGAATATGTGTGCATGAAAGAAGACCCCTTAATTTTTACAATTTTCTTCCAAACATAAGACACCAAGCAATTGAAAATTCTTGTTTTGAGTGATGAGAAATGTCAAATTAAATAACTGAAAGGAAAACATCAGAAATCACAAAATAAGAAGACCAGAATATGATAGAGGTGTCTAACTTTAACTGGAAGCATTTTTTCGTTAAGGTCAGACCAACTTTGAAGAGTAATTCAAGGTGGCCGAGTACTGTCCTCGTATTCTGAGGTTATCTTATCATCAGCTTACTAAGCATAACTGACCCTGGTTACAACCGGTGTATGGGACCAATACAAATCGGTCTAGTCTCGGGGCCTGGCCGACTTCCTGGTTTTGACCAATTTTGACCTATTGAAATAAAATATTTGTGGAGGTCTCAAACCCTCCCTTAAATTTCTGATAATTGGTACACAGGTACTTCAGATGCTTGCCTATTGAGTAGTACTGTTAGTTTTTTTGACACCCCCAAACCAAGCACACAAATTTTAGGAGACTGTAGAGTGACCGAGATGCCGGTCATCTACAGTAGTATAGACTCAGTCTATGGGGAGGCGCATCGCTCGGAAAGGTCGCGGCTGATGACTAATCGCACAGCCACCAAAATTGTTGCAAATACATCCCAAGTCGCCTCAGAAGGCCGTTAGTTGCTTGTAGAAGGCTTAAATACTTGAAATGTACTTTATATTTTGCCATTGGATAGTTGTATTATAATTAAACATGGACATCATTAGTCTAAGTCACAATCATCATTATCCTCAGAGTCAGGCCCGAGCATCTGCACATCACCATCCTCCTCTGCAAGCATATCCTGGATGAGCAGAACATCAGCTCCATGAGCTAAATGCCTTTCAACTTCTTTCTTAAGTGCGATGAGTGGATCTGGCAGGGAGTTTGTCCTGTCTCCCAGTGGATTCCGCTGCAACTTGACAGCAGCCTGTTGTGCGTTCATTGCTTCATTTATTTCGTTTCTTGAGAGAGTGAGCCATTTTAGAACATTAGAAGCAATGTAGAGTGATTATAGGGAGTATAGCAAGCACATCATGGTCAGGGAGGCCTGTTTTCTGCTGTCATCGCGTTTCTGGATGCGTCAGGACACGTATTACATAAGCACTTAATTGGCTTGTGAGCGCGTCCAAATTGAGAACACTTTTTCACAACAAACAATCAGGCAACCCTCATTTTTTTTGTGCTCCGTGAAATATTTGAGGTGTCAGACAGGTTGCCTTGAGACTGATTTGGTGAAACTCTACCTCTTTAATTGACTTCACTATTCATTTATACCCTTAGAGCGTGTATTTACGACATCGAGGCTCTAGGTACCCTGCACATCATGAAATCCTCTCGATTTGTACAGGAATTTGGGAAAAATAGTACCAGATACATGCAAAAAAGTGATTTGCATGAACTTCCTGGCCCGATACAGGGAGTCAATAGAGACAAACAAACAGGCTTTCACAGTGGCGGTGCGCCTCCCCACTTAGACTCTTCCGAACCACGAGAAGGTGAGTTCAGGGTTGTCATCTGATGAATCTGACAAACAAATGTCAGTCCAGTGCTATCTCTAGGCAAAGGTACATATCTTGCCTTCCCTCTCCAAGTTTAGTGGGATAACCGTGAGCTTGATGGCCAGTGCGATCATTCAGCCCATGGCTCCTCCAACTTCGCTGTGGCCAGAGTCAACCCTGACTCCACCAGAACTGGCGCCATACACTACAGCCACTGACAGCGCCCTCAACATCATTGGCGTTGGAGCACAGTTAACAGCCTTCGTCCATGCTTTCTTCAGCACCATCGCTGCTGCCCTAGCCGTAGCTGACGGCAAAATCAACAAGTCAGAAGCGGAGTGGGCCTTTGACCTCTTCCAGGGAAACATGCTCTTTTTTGTCGCTGCTGCAATAACCACCATTGCTCAATTTGAGAGTCTAAGCCCTTCCAATGTTTTGCTCGTCCTCCAGCTGACATGGGTTCTCGAGGGTCCACTTATTCTTAGCTATAGCATCGTCAACTGGGCTGTCAAGAAGGCGTTACCTCATCTTTCAAATGATCATTTTGACCTTCCACTTCTATAAGCCACGAGAATACATCAGATACTGTATTTTTACAATGTATGCTTATATGTCAGGACTGTGGTTTTACAGTCCACCTACGAAGAGGGCCTTGCCGGGTGTGCCGGGGCTCGCGGCTGTGGGCGGGGCATGTCAATACATGCAAACAACACAGGAAACAGTGCTCGGACACTGTTCCTCGTCGTTTGGGGTGCTCCCGCCCCCGTTGTCGACAGGGAAAAGGTGCCAACAACGAGGAAAGATATTTCTTCACCGTTCTGCACCATTTCCCCCGCCGTTGGGGGGGCGGGATAGCTGGATTGGGAGGGGGTGGTTTGGATGACATGGCCTTTTTTCGGGGCCCCGGAACTATTTTTAGTTCATATTGTAATTACCATGACTCATCCATTATATTGCTCTCGCCGACGTCTGTCACAACGTCCGGCGAGCTCGGGGGTATCTTATAACACACAAAAAAATTACAAAAAATCATGTTAAATTCAAATAAAATATATACATGGTGCGGGTGGCTGTACAGCCACCCGCCGTGAAATAAAGATATAACGAGCAGAAACGACGCATGTGATGCGTCGTTTCTGCTCTGGGGAGTGCCTGGTCATTCCCGTCGTGCGCGGGCCACCCGCTGCCACGGCCGTACTCTGTCGGCACCGTGCTCATGTTGCTGCCCTGTTCGTGTCACTACCGCATTTGCGCCGGGCTTTGTCACCTCCGGTTGCCCTTGCGTTCGTTTCGGCGTCGTCTTGCTTGCTGTCCTCCTCTTCACCCCTCCTCCTGCTCTCCCGCCCTCCTCCTGCTCTCCCGTCCTCCTCCTGCTCTCTGCCCCTCCTCCTGTGCCTCCCTTCCATCCCTTGTGCTCCCCCCTCCTTGTGCTCGCGCTCGTCCTTGGCCTGCTTGTTGGTTGGTGGGTGCTGAATAAAAGCAACCCCACATCCCTGCTGAGAGGGAGGGGTGCTGACCAGGGCAAAGGATGAAGCAGAGGGCGAGAGCGAGTGACAGGCGCGCGAGGGCGAGAGGGCAGGGCAGACGGCGAGGTGGGCGAGGGGTTGAAGTGGACAAGAGGGCCGACGAGAGGGTGATGACGAGCAGGCGAGGTGGGCGAGAGGGCGAAAAGGTGAGGTGGGCGAGAGACGAGAGGGGCGAGAGACGAGAGGGGCGAGAGGGCGAGAGACGAGAGGGGCGAGAGGGGCGAGAGACGAGAGGGGCGAGAGAGGCGAGAGAGGCGAGAGAGGCGAGAGGGCGAGGTGGTGAAACGGGCGAGGTGGTGAAACGGGCGAGGTGGTGAAGCGGGCGAGGTGGTGAAACGGGTGAGGTGGTGAAACGGGCGAGGTGGTGAAACGGGCGAGGTGGCGAAACGGGCGAGGTGGCGAAACGGGCGAGATGGGCGAAACGGGAGAAACGGGAGAAACGGGCGAGATGGGCGAGAGGGCGAGAGGGGCGAGAGGGGTGAGGTGAGCAAGGTGGGCGAGGTGGGCGAGAGGCGAGAGAGCGAGGTGGTAGAGGGCGAGAAGGCGAGATGGGTAAAGGGCGAGATCAGCGAGATGGTGGGGCAGACGGTGAAAGGCGGAGCAGAGGGAAGGGCGAGGGGCGAGGCGAAGGGGCGGACAAGGGGCGGACAAGGGAGAGAGGGCGGGGCAGAGGGCGAGGCAAAGGGCAAGAGAGTGAGGCAGAGGGCAGGGGGAGTGAACGAGGGGCGAGGGTGGAAGGATGCCGCTGCCGCTGCCATCGTCGTCGTCCGACCCCCATCCTCGTCCTCGTTGTCATGCCCCCATCCTCATCGTCGTGCCCCCGTCCTCGTCATTGTGCCCCTGCCGTCGTCGTCGCTGTCGTGCCCCCATCCTCATTGTCCTGCCCCCGCCATCGTCGTCGTCCTGTGCCTGCCGTTGCTATCCTTTGCCTGGTCGAAGGGCGATGGCAGGCGAGCGCGCGATGTTGGGTGAGAGGGCGGTGGCGGGCAAGCAGGCAATGGCAGGCAAGCAGGTGGTGGTGGGCAAGCAGGTGGTGGTGGGCAAGCAGGTGGTGGTGGGCATGGAGGTGCCCGAGCCCACATCCCTGTCGCTAGGGGAGGGGCGGCTTTGGTGTGTCGTCATCGACGTGAACGCGATTCTGTGGAGGTAAGGTAGGTAAGTAGGGACCTAAATACATAAAAAAGAACCATACTTACCTTTTCTTGTGTTTTGGGGCTGCTTCGAAGCGAGGGGGTGAGGGAAGTGGTGGAGAAAGACCAAGATCAACGATGCTCAACATCGTTGATCGCGGTTCGGCGGGATCCGGCTGCACATCCCATTGGTTGGGGTTATCGGCCCGGTCCCGTTTCCGTTCCGTTGTCGACCAACGGAACATCTCCAGTGGATATAGAACGCGTCGTATCTTTATTCAAACTATCGGAAATTGTTATTAGTATAAAAATTCATCTATGCATGTAATTTTAATGAAATAGAACAAAATTTAAATATTTTGTGAGGCAATTCATCTCAGGTTCAGGCTAATTAGGGGACTCTCTCCTCTGTACGTAGATTTCAAGAGGCAGAAGAAGCCAAATAAATATATAAAAATAGTATACATGCTGGCTAATTATGATAGTATTGAGGAATAGAGTTCCCCTGACCGATTTACTGACTTTAGGATGTACACTAAGAATCTACGAACGACAATGTAGATTCTGGTATGAAACCAGCTCAAGAATGTGTCAATTTTCAGACACTGGCACATATTACAGGATCTACATGAGAAATGTAGGCTAAATTTTTGATATGTTGTATTTACTTACCTACAGATGCAAATGCCAAGTTATTGTGATGCTTCAACTACTCGAACGAGTGGTATTCAAGAGGTTGGAACATCAAGGAGACGTAAATCACCACGCGGAAATGGTAACTCGAGCTTTTAGCTCGTTCACGTTCTCAGATTATATTCGGATCTTTCTAAATACATAGACTACAGTAGTTTAATTAATTACCAACTATTAATCAAAGGAATTTCCTCATATCTCAAGTGTATTGGCTCTTCCGAGGTCGATGAGCGGAACGCGGGCTGGCCGGACCACCAGCGCCAGCCAATCACGTCGCCCGCGGCATCCGCCGGATAAGCCATCAACAACGACAAACGTTGTTGATCTCAGCTTCAACCACCACCTGGCGCTCCCCCTCTCAGTCCAATGCCTCAAATAACCCCCCAGGACCGAAAAAAAAGGTAAGTAATGTATTTCCTTCATAAATGTCTACTCTAATTGATGTTTAAAACCACGCTAGGTCAACGAACATTGACTTTAAGTCAACGTTCGTTTTCATTGCCTTTCATGCCCCTCCCCTTCAATAGGGATGTGAGCAGAGGCACGAAACCCCACCCAGGTCACCTCTCGCGCGCCTCTCGCCTTCTCCATCCTCAAGCTCCCCACCACCTTCCGCCTCTCATCGCCTGCGCCCTCACTCTGCACACCTCCCCTTGAAGAGGGACGAATATCGAAACCGACGAATAACGCATGACGACGGCGACAAATGACAGCGGGCGATGAAAGACGATGGACGACCGACAGCGGGCGACAAACGGCGGCGGCAGCGGCACGACAAGGACGACGGCACGATGAGGAGGGCGGCACGACAAGGATGACGGCACGATGAGGAGGGCGGCACGATGAGGATGACGGCACGATGAGGATGACGGCACGACGAGGAGGGTGAGGGCACTTTTCACCTCTGCCCTCGCCCCTCGTTCACGCCTCCCATCCTCTGCCTCGCCCTCTCGCCTTCCGCCCCTGCCTTCTCGCCCCTCATCCGCCCCTCGCCTGCCCTCGCACTCTGCCCTGCCCTTTGCCCCGCCCCTCGACCTTTGCCCCACCCCTCGCCCTTTGCCCGCGCCCCTTGCCTCCGCCCCGCGCCCTTTGCCTCCGCCCGTCGCCATCGCCGTTCGCCATTTGCCATCGCCCATCACCCTTCACCCCCGCCCGTTGCCTCCTGCTCAGCACCCACCACTAGCAGCTCAAGCAGAAGGGAGAGGACAAGGAGGGGGGAGGACAAGCACCCAAAGGGCATCAACGAGCGACAAACGGGCAGAATGAGTGGTGAATGGGCCGAACGAGCAGAGGAGGGGTGGTGGGGGTGGCAGAGGGGGTGGAGGAGGGTCCCGTGGTGCAGATCGGACAGGTACGGCCCCATGAGAAGCGGGTGGAGAGCACGGAGGGGGTGGAGCAGTAGAGCGGGTCCCAAACGAGCACAGGAAGGGCAGAGGGTACCCCGATGAGCAGAAGAGGGGGCGGAGGGGGACCTGGAACAGAAACGGCATGTTTATACGCGCCGTTTCTGCTCGTTTGATCCTTATTCCATAGCAGGTGGCTAGTAGAGCCACCTGCAGCATGTATTTATTTTATTACAATATAACACTTTTTTTGCATTTTTTTGCTGCAATAAGGCAGGGATGAGGACCAGAGCGGAAACGACGTGTCACGACACGTCGTTTCTACTTCTTTTCATCTTAACTCATAGTTGGTGGCTGGTAAGAGCCACCCACATCATGTATGTATTTTATTTCAATTTAAAACGATTTTTTGCTATTTTTCTGGTCTACCCCGAGCTCACCGGATGTCGTGGCAGACGGCGGCAAGACCATTACAACGGGTTTGTCATAGTAATTACAGCATAATCTAAAAATAGCTACAGGCCCCGCCAAAAGGGCCATGTCATCCAAACCCACCTGGCCCAATCCATCCATTCCCGCCCCCCGACGATGGGGGAAATGGTGCACAACGATGAGGAAATATGTTTCCTCGTCGTTGGCGCTTTTTCCCCGTCGAAAACGGTGGCGGGCACACCAAAAACGACAAGGAACAGTGCTCGGGCATTGTTTCCTGCATTGTTTGCTTGTGTTGACAGGCCCCGCCCACAGCCGCAAGCCTCGGCACACCCGGCAAGGCCCTCTCCGTAGGTGGACTGTAAAACCACAGTCCTGATATATAAGCATACCTTGTAAAAATACAGTGTCTGATATAGATTTCTAGCAGACATGGCTGGACCTTCTGGTCAGCAAACGAATGAAAGCCACCCTGTGGCTTTTTCGCCTGTTGCACGGAACTTTTACCATCACTATTTGGATCATCATTACCGCCGCATCATCAATGCTTCAGCACACCGAGAATCCCTTCTTTGCCCTCGGACCAGCAAAAATATTTGTCGATAGCACCACCTATTTGTTATCACGTCCCTGTGGCGTGTGGGCAAATCGGTCTGGCAATTCTTCACAACACCCGATGTTTTCTCTGAGTGGGGGGGTCTGTTTGGGAAGAAAAATCGACCAGGGAAAGCATTTGTCACAGTCAATTCTGTTGCCATTCGGGTGAAGTTGTTCATTGTCACATTGGCCCTCGCCTTCATAGCGATTGCGAACGTCCAGATGACACTTGCCAGCAAAAGAGACCACTTTGTTGAGGGGGTAAAAGCCAATTTGGAATTGGTCAGGCCATGGCGATGTCCATGCTAGTGCCACAGGTATGCAAATCAGTAGAAATCAGATTGGACTGGTGGAGACATAGGAGACTTGAAGAGAGATGCGATGTATGTCTACGAATGCAGCAATGCCCCAACTATAACGGCCCACCATGGACAAAAATAGGGCTTACCATGTAAATACCACCCCCTGCAATGAATATCTCACCCAAAAGTCCCAGATCGTCGACGAACGTCGACAATCGTCAACTTTCGTTAATGTTCGTCAACAATCTCCAACTTTCGTTAACGTTCGTCAACGATCTCCAACTTTCGTTGACGTTCTTTGACTTTTGTCAAAGATTTCTGCTGAAATCCCCTGATCTTCAACGTTTGGCACAGATCGATTCGGTAGGTTTCTTCAACTTTCTGGTACCATTTTCACTGTGAGCCTCTCGTTCTTTCTTTGAGATCCTGCCGAAATCTTCAACAATCGTTATATTTTTCTTCAGGAATCTGTCGGACCCCAGGACTTCACGAGAGGCTTGGCAGATTCAAGCCTTTTGGACTCATGTGGTTCCTCGGGATGACCTCTTAGGCTGTCACATAGGGCTAAGCAAGGGCAATAGCACTGGGGTGTAAACCCGCTCAAACGTAGGACTAGCGAATCGAGAGTGTTTATATTGAATAGGTTGCATATGCATATAGTACAAACAGCATAGAAAGATTGTACATAATTGTAGAAAGAGGTCAAGAAAAGAGATAAGTACAAGGTTTATACAAGGTTTAGATGAAGAGTCTGGACATTGTGAGACAAGAGAAGATGAAAATTAAGGACCATGTACTCAAATTCCTTGGTTTGCGATGGGTTGAGCGGCAGGTGGACTCCATTCATCGGTACGAGTGTTGGTTGGAGGTCAGTGAATGCCTCGTACACTCTGCAGTCGAAAATTCGACAACGATCTTGGATATCGAACGCCTGCAGCTCGATGTAGTGCAGCGGCACAAAGTGGAAATCATCCCTGAAAATGTCGCTCAAGTCACTCGAATGTTACAAGGAGAAACAAGATATGACATACATGACAAGGAACTCATACTCCCAGATGTGAGTATCACGTCCGCGGCGGAGAGGGAGGAGGTTGAGTTCTTCCAAAGCACAGAGCCCAGGCATCACAGCAAGTGCAACAGTCTTCTTCACAGCTTCATCGGTGAAGCCGGGAAAGGTGGTTGGGCAGTAGTGGAAAGTGGCTGTTAGACACATCTTGAAGACTCAGTGGTGGTGGTGGTGGTGGTGGTGGTGAGCAGAGAATGAGAAAACAGAAGGGTGGGCATTTGGGGTGTGCAAATGACAGCAAATGAGCAACAACGGCAACCGCTCGATAGGCTGACTCGTGTCACCGACTCTCATTGTGTTCTTGGGGGCACAGAAGGCCCCTCAGCATCTACCAACGCCCTCAGCATCCACCCCTTGAACAGGGAGGGGTTTCCTTGTTGACCAATACATGCCATCCTATCCCCCATGTCGACAACCTCGTCTCCTCGCTGTCCTCGAGCCATATCGGCCAGGAGGCAATAGACTCTTCCGTATCACCCCGCCTCAACCCGTCCCGCCACTTCCTCCTCTCCCTCCCTCCGCCATCTACCCCTCGCTAACCTCCCTCCCCTCCCTCCAGGACCAGCTCGCCGAGTCCCTCTTCTGCAACACACTGCCATCATCCTCCTCCTACCAAACACCAGTTGAACTCAGGTGTCAGATACGCACCGTCGCACGACGATAACACGACTGTGACGAAGGTTCGATTCAGACGCGACACGATAAACACGCGCCTCTCCTCCCTCTTGCCTCCCGCTATCTGTCCCATCCAGCCCTCCTCCCACCAGTCAGTGCACCCTTGTAGCACACAAAGTTCTTTGCAATTGACATGGGACGGCATTAGCAAACCCCGATCTTCATCAGAACCTGACTCGACTCACCCATCAAGGAGCCACCTACCTGCCATCGTCGACCCTCTTCAGCAGAGCTCCATCGCGAACAAGCACACAACCCACCTCCTGAGAGTACCGACCTACCTCCGCATCATTGACTGGACCGACTGTGGTGGAACAAGGAGTGGAGGTCAGCGTCACTCCATGGCACAAAGATCAGCGTCGCTTACCCCGCCCTTCATCCAGCCCTTTTCCCACCGACTCAGGAGTCTCCTCCATTGTAGCACCCCGCGCCATTTGCCCCACTCGACTCTCATGCATTCCCATCGCAGCACCACTTACCCAGACATGCACTGCCACGTTTACGACCGATTCCACACCTCTACAGCGCAAGTTCCATCCCTAGCCCAGCGCTATCGGGCAAGACAGCGACATACCCACTCAATCCCAATCCCAATGGCGGCGAACAAGAGTCGGCAGGGAGGGCACAGTATTCATAAACACGAGAGGCGGCATGGCGGCAGTCGTAGTTGGTGTGTGCAGCAGAGAATGACACCCGAGGGCGTCCAATCTACCTGCCCCGTCATGCATGACGAGTGCGAAGGCAGGGGATAAGGTGAGTAAGGGGTCTGTACTCACAAAACGACTGCAGTCTTACCTTGGCCACACAGCCTATAGGAAACCACGTCCTGCCACGATCAATCTGCGACGCCACCAGGTACGACGGCTGCTCAGCACCCCTCCGACTCACCTGGCTTGTTGACATTTGCCAATGGGGTTGATTTTGGGCGGGTGGTTGACAAACGATGCAAAAATCTAAGGACATGGGTAAGTAATGTCCTTTATGAGCAAAAGGTTGGTTGACTTACCTTGTCACGGTGTTCAACGCCCACCCAAGCATTGGAAGAAAATGTTTCACTCTGGGTTCGTGAGGGCATGAGTGATGAACAAGAGGGAGAAGGTACTTACACGGTTTTCATGCTTCATTGTGTAAGATTTCGTTCTTGAAATAAGATTGGGTTCAGAGAGTCAAGGTTGATAGGCAGGAGATGAGAGGAGTCCGAGCTACTCTCATGCCATGCAGACACGCACCCCTTCACTGGACCAGTAACATTCAAGAAACAACCAAAAGAAACCTATTGACCACGACTATACAAGATATAATCTGTACACTGAGGCGCAGGACAGCTCTCCACAGACGGTGTCATGTTTACAACGGTCCTGTCCTCCTCTTCTTCCTGGGAACGTCTGGCTCGACCTGTTCACCATCTGTCCCACACAACTTGCGGCCTTTCATGAAATCTCGGTCGAGCTTCGTTGTTCCGAGTTCCATAAGATCATCTGAAGCTGTCCAGGACAAATTTTAGATATGTCCCATGAAAAGGCAGCTAAATCTTGCCTTCAAAATTGGACCAGTACACCTTTGGACGAATCAGAAGGCCTTCAACAAGCTCAGGTTTCAGGACTAGATTAATGTCATTGTCGTCCTCTGACTCGAGATATTTGTTGCACCCCTCCAGAGATGGGGGGTGTAACTCAAGGGCATTGTTGACTTGCCTCTTGAGCATCCAATACTCACAATGGGGTGCCCCTTTGACTCCCTCTATGATTGCTTGCACCTTGTATCTGAGAAGGGAAGAAGCATGAAGGGCGATACACTCCTTTGGGAGCGCAACTCCATTGCCAGACTCTGAGTCAATCACCTCAAATTTTGTTTCGTACCACCGGATGGCATCGAGAGCCAATCCACGGGCTTGTCGCATATGAGTACGCTCGTCGAAACTGATGTCATTCACATCGTACTGATGCCAAAGTTTCCGTTGCTCTTCGTCAGCGGGTTCATCTTCGTCTTGGTTTGGGGCGGAATATGTTTGGTGGTGCAAGACATTTCCCAATATATTGAGACTGCAGACGGTGATGAAATCGAGACTGCCTTGCATGGTCAAAATATCTGGAAGATGTGCCTTTTCCAAATCATCGGCTGGATAACAGATAATAAGTTCTAGGTTTCCTCAAGAGTGATCAATAACTTACTGGGGTACTCCATGACTAGCCCGCAATAAAAGAACTGCATGAGCCGTCGCAACAGAAGATGCGAGGGGTGATGGGTGGTGTTTGTGATGAGATCACAGCAGATAAAGGAATGGATGAGTCCACAGGCAGTCTCCTGGATGGTCGATGTGGCATAGAAGTGCCCGCCATGGCAAATACTGTGCCCAGTCGTTATCACAGAATGGACGATGTTAGGGCGCATGAGCCTATTTGGTAAGATGAGTAAGATGAGATAGAATCGGCATGCAAAGTACATACAATCGTGTGCCAGGGTGCAGAAGAACAGCCTCAACATCCCAGTCATCCAGATTCAATGCCTTGAATGAGAAATGCTCTCTGAAGAACACCCCTATGGTCAACATCACAGGTCGTTTGGGAACAGCGATGATCCACAATTTTGCTCCTGACATGACCTGGACCAGAGTGCAGAGCCCCTCAGCATCGATGTGGAATGGAGTGTATGCGTTTTCGAGGCTGCACAGCCCCCAGCGTAGATGGTTAACGGGAATAGGTGTGTCCTTTCCAGCTCCTGGCAGACCTACGGTTGCGTACCACGCCACCATATCACTGGCAAAAGGTTGACTCATCTGGAGATCTCCAGGTTCGCTGAACGGACACTCCAGGGCATTCAGGACTTTGCCATTAGGCTTGCGAGATTCATCAAGCAGCTGCTGGATGGTCCCTTGGAAAAGCCGTTCGTTCTGATTATCCGTAAGCTTGACAGATTGATCTACAAATTCGGTTAGTACAGAGAGCAGTGCACCGTCGAGTGCATACCTTGAATCGTGGTAACGTTTTGTAGAGGTTGCTGCAGCGATCGAAAACCCTTCTCATCAAATTCACAAGGAGGTGTTGGGCAACCTTTGACAATGACTGCGAGGTTGTCACGAAGGAGGGTTTGGAGCTTGGCTTCGGATATGCGTTGCGATTCTTCATAGTCTAAAATCTTGATCCTAGACCCCTGGGAAGCAGATAGGAATTTTGGCTTCCTGCCAACGTAAGTGCTTTCCAGGTGAGCTTCCAGCGTCTTCATGACATTCCAGTCCTCTATGTGCTAATAGCGTCTTAGACCTGCTCGGCAGTACCAGGAAAAGGGATCGAGACTTACATGGAGCCGTGGCTGCCATTCATGTTTGTGCCCGTACGGGTCCCAGAGGTGAAGGGTGCCTTGGGCAACTCGCTAGAAAACGTGATGAAAAAAGAAAGAAGTGGGAAGGAGAAATCACAAACTTGAAGGTCATAGTCCCCTTCAGTATCCAAGCTTGCCTGTGGAACTGCAGTCTGTTCCAGAAAGGTTTATGAGCTGCCGTGTATCTGGCCAACATAACAACTTACGTAGTCTCTCCACTGAATGGGATCCCAACTGTTGAATTCATCTATTACAATGGGGTACTCTGCGTCGTGCCCAGGACTCATACGACGTTTGTGTATGGTGCTCTTTTTGGTGCTATTTCCTTTGTGCTTGTTCTTTGGTGGAAGGATCGTCAGAGCTGGGTTGATTATTGGCGCAGTCAGTTTCTTCTCCCTCTTCGATTGGTGAATCCATCTAGTATCGACAGCATCTTGGGTGAGGTCGATGACCATGGGGTCATCATGACCAGTCGTGGTTGCGTCCATATTCACATTGCCATCAGTGTCCTCGAGGTCGATGGGTGTGGTGTCATCGCCACCGTCACCCAACCTGGAGAGCGAAGGATGCGGTTGGGCCTGCGTCACATCCGTCGCGCTTCCGTGGCATGCGCCAGATTTGGCGTCCGCTTGTTGGCATACCTCTTGCCTCTCGTTGATGTCCATCTTGTCCTTGCTAGAGTGCGGCGGTGGGGCAGGCGGGTCGTGAAACATATCGATATCGCTTTCGGGGTGCATGCTACTGCCCACGTGCTCAGGATTTGCATCGATCTCTTCAAGGAGGTTTGCGTTGCGGGACGCCCTTTCCTTCGCCTCTGGGTCTGCCCTCTCCTTCGCCTCGCGAGCCACCCGTTCCTTGGCTTCTTGTGCCTCTACAGCAGCTCTCTCCTCCGCTTCCCTGTCTGCGTGCTTATTGGCCTCTCGGACAGCCTGGTCCTCTCTGGTTGCCGCTGCTGCGTCCGCTGCAGCCTTTCGGGCTGCCTCAGCTTCCTGCCTCTCGAGCGCCTCCCCGGCCCTCAGGGCTTGATCTTGGGCGGTGCTCTGAGCTCGCCTTGCAGCTCCGCCATCGAGCTTGAACCATCCCACTACGTCTTTGTCCACTTCCTCAATTTCCTTCCAGGGTAGCTCGGCAAGGACCTTATAGATGAATTGGATTAATGTATATCGCCCTACAGCCAAACCCGTGAAAGCACGTATGATTATGCGCTCAACCAGGCACAAGAGGTGAGGTGTGACGTTTCCCAAAGAGATCACGAGCTGTCCTGACATGAGTGGCCATGGATACAGGGTGAAGGGGTAGGGCACTTACGGACAAGAAATGTAGTCAATCCCATGACCACTTGTGCAACTGAACCATGTCGAAGAGAAAAATGGGCGACAACATGACAGCCACCTGGAAAGGCAGGCGCAAGTGGCTAGCGTTTTCATTCTGCAAAAGATCGCGCAGGTAGGCAGCATCGTCTGCAGAGAACGGGTGCTCCGACAGCCAGAAATTCAGCAGTCCAGCGAGATCGCTAGGCAGGTCGGGCAAATTCTCGGACCATTCTCCCGTTATGAATACCGGTTGCTGGTTCATGCTTCCCAAGTGAAGAGCGGCCAGCGCGATGTTGTGAAGCGCCTTGGTGATCCCTTTGGCACTGCCCAGCTGAGCTAGACCCTTGAGTTGCTTGACGGGTCCCTGCCGTACATCAATCTTGTAGCTGTGTACGTCGTGTGTGCTAGAAGCAGATGAAGACGCTGCCACCTTCACAAAGCGCTCGAACCCCTTGCGAAAGTCGGTGAGAATTTTGGGCCAGTTGGAGATATGATCCCACTTGTACTACGGAAACACAGTCATACAGGAAACAAGTTCACGAGCGTAAGGATATACACACCTTCTCCACTTGCCGCTCAAAAGGCACCTGTGGTACTTCCTTGTATGCTCTCAACGCATTCCCATCGTTGAAGACAAGCCTATCCAGCCACTGACACACAACCACAAAGGTGAAAAACTTCTCTGTTGCAGCCGCAGAGGGTTTTCGGGTTGAATCGATTGCACGGAGTTGGTCAACCAGGGCACTGACGGCGGCCGACTGGTATTGGCTGTAGAGAGGACGATAGTCGAGGAGTTTTTGGATGTCCTTGACTTCATGCGTATTCTGCGTGAATAGTGCCTCCTTGAAGACTTTGAGGTGGCAGGCAAAGCCCTGATGTGTTTGTCTTTAGAATAATACCCACTCCTTTCGACTAGAGATGTGCTAACTTACGTGCATGTCATTCTCACTGGAGAATGTCACGGATGGATTTTCTATGACGGCTGATTGCCACGGAAAGGCGGACAGCACCAAGGATTGGGCGCGTGCAGGGGGATGGCACGACCCCATCTGGCAAGACACTGGCGAAGGGGCTCAGACGGTGTTTCTCTCCCCCAGCATCCACTTACTCATATTTTCTGATTTCTGTCTGGAAGGCGGGTGTTCTTCTTCGGGCTATTATACGCTCTACTATTATTACTACTTAGTGTTCACTCTATAATCTAGGTCTGTGTGTTAACTTCCTGATACCCTAATGGACAATGGCGGTTGGAAAGAGAAAGCAGAACCAACAACCGAGTCACGTTGGGCCACGCCAGTATTTAGGGCCGGCTGTGCATACTGGTCAGCACTCTGTGGGACCACGCCAATCTTAGTCAGTGAGGCATTTCTTCCTCGCTGACTAAGATTGGTGTGGTCCCATGGGATGATTTATAATAGACTAACACATGTCTCCCTGGGAGCCTGCTGAGTATTACTAATACTAAACAGTTCGCACTGATCACATGGCCCATCATTTAGGGCCGGCTGCATTGGCTAGCCTGCATTTGGTTGCTTCGTTGGCACCTTCGGACCTTTTAGTCAACTTGAACCACAACCATAGAGTACCAGTAGAAACCGTACATCATTGTAATAAGCAGTCCACATGTCAGAGCGCCCCGCAAAGCGAGCTAAGCTCACCAAAGTAAGCCCAGAGCCAGCAGCCAGAAATACTGAGCTCATAAGTCTAAATAGCATTCATTCGTGGATCTGGAGGCCCAAGTGGACAACAACAAGGTCGATCAGGAGGAGGATGGGCAGGAGGATGAAGAGGGTGCGTTTCTACTCAAGGCACCCTTTCCATGCTCACACACGGACAGAGCTCGACGAAGAAGAGGAGGAATACGACACGATCGAGTTGCACACCCAGCTAAGGGAGGCAATGGACAAAGAGGGCAAAGACATGTGGCAGGGGCTATTGCATCGTGCGCAGGTGAGGACAGCAGGTCAATCTCCTTCTCCTGGTATTCTGGATGTTGCCTTGACTGGTGGAGAACTCTGGGAAATTGGGTGTATGGTACGCTTGGGTCAGATCGCCGTACGGATGGATGCTAACCGCCACATGTAGCCTGGATGCGAGGAAGCTGTCCCCCTCAAGGTTCTCGCGAGATCCTTGCATCCAACGAGCCCCCAGTTTCTCGCTCGTTCTGTCATAGGGCGTTGGACCTGCATTGGCCGAGTTTATGCTGAGGTTAGTGGTTTGGAGCAGGCGAAGCGTCTAGCAGCGGCCATCCCAGAATTACACGGCTCGCAGCTGTGCAGGGTACCTTTGGAGGAACGTGTGTCCGTGCTGACCATACGCAATGTTACACTGCTGCAAGAGGACCATTGGTTGCGGGTGCGGGGTAAACGGTCCCAATGGCGACAATACAGAGGCGACACGGGCCGAACAATTGTCCAACGCAGCGAGTTAAAATTGTTGCTTATCCCAAGACTGAAGGACCAGGCAGATCATGGGATTCCCCCTCGCCGGGTGCGCACCTTCCCAGAGATGCTAGCGCAATTCGGGTCTGGCGTCAGACAAAACCAGGGGCGAGACGAGGACGGCGAGTTCACCTTTTGGGGCCTTACATTCGACAAGGACGGGTTTTTGCTTGCTGACCTTGATTCGGTTGACACACTGCCCTGGTCTGAGCGCACCCTCCCAGGTTTGGACGAGCTGCACTTGTTCAAGTCCTCCGCAAAAATTGCGCCGGACATGATCGACAGGACACTCTCAGACATTCAGGAATTGATTGTGCACATAGGAGACAAGGTCAAGATAACCTCAGGCAAGTTCAAGGGCCTCGGAGCTCGTGTCCTGACTGTGGACGCGAGAGAGGCAGAGGTGTATATCCCTTCACAAGATTTAGTTCATAGGCTGGTGTTGTCGCAACTGCAAAGGCATTTTCACGTCGGGGACGAGGTTCAGGTCATGCAAGGGCCCCATAGAGGCAGGGTGGGTTGGATCGTTGACGAAGCCAACAGCACAGTCAAGGTACTCCACGTAGAGTTGCAGAGCGAGGTAAATCCGGGTTTCCCTTGCTATTGGCGTGCTAAAAAATTCCCATCAGGTAGAAGTTGAAACAGTGCAGGTGCAGATATACAATTGACCCTTCAGAACAACGCTGTGGGTATGCAGGCAACGGACCGACATGGTGACAGACGACCCGAACTGAATGCATGTAGGCAAGACAGTCATGGTGGTGTACAATGACAAGAAACCTCGGGCGACGGCAAACATTTACAAGGGCTATAAGGGTCTGATCAAGAACACGGACGGCTTTGGTGCTGCCTTCGTGGAGCTGGAGGTGTGCAACAACAAACAAGTGAAACTGAGGATCGACGACCTGATCCTGTGGCATGTTGCTTCTATCTTTCTCTTATGCATTGATGTCCTAAGCACCCACACAGGCGCGATGACTACCGCGCAGCTGGGCAGCAAAACAGGCTGGAAGATTTTTCGACGCCACCTAAGAAGACTGCAGCAGTGTCTCTGGCCACTACCTCCAGCGAGAGTGAACCTGTGGTGGCAACGCCGATGCCCGAACAAGAAACAACGCTTCAAAGTCCCGCCTGGGACCCGGCAGCAGCTGATCCCCATGCACACCCAGCTCACTGGCTGGAGCATGTGTCCCTGGCTGGTCGACGCATCAAACTGTGTGACGAGGGCGAAGCTAGCTCATGGATTCTAGAGTTCATTGGGATTGAAGCGGACTCAGCGGTGGTACGAGACGGAATGCAACGACGGCTGGTGCCCTTTGAGAGGGTGCGGCCAGTGGGGCTGTCAGCCGTTGAGGATCTCGTGGTTCCAATCTCAGGGGACCTGAGTGGGAAGTTTTACAAGGTGAAAGTGTATGGAGAGCAGGAGTGCGAAGTGCACAAACCTGGGCGGCGGCTGCTCAAGCATGAGTCCAATCTGCGATTTGAGACCCAAAATCTTGTACAAACATTTCCGGCGCTTAGGAGATAGGGCGTTTCTTAATGTATGCTTCGTAGTTGCTTTGTAATCCTGATGGATCACACGTGATGCTGACACACGCTATTGATGCGTATTTACTGATCGACCGTGCCCTATTTATTCACGCGACGGACATCCCTTTTAGATAGAGTACTCTCTGATCTTGTACCTCTCTGTTCTCTACTCGACGTATACACGCTGGTCTCATTCTACCATTTGATGTGAGTGTTTGCTACCTACCCTGTAGGATAGATTTACACTTTTTTTTGAATGACCACCTTGCGTGTACATTTCCCTTACCGTTATCTGTGCTGCTGCCGTACCGTTGCTGATTACCGAGCGATAGTGACGCATACATTTGCCGAACTTCACGACAACCGTCCTTGCTGTCTCCGCTGAAGACCTTGGTCTTTCCGCTCCCGCTGTATCTCCGAGCGTATCCCCACACGACGAACTGGCGCCTACGCTTAGAAGCCACTCAAAAGCACCTGCCGTGACTGTTGACTTGCCGATACCGCCAGTAGAAACGCCCAAACAGGACGCTTCCCGCCAACGTTCTCCGTCACCACTGTCTCCCCTGACCTCGCTAGAGGAACACTCACTGCATCTGTCGACACCCTCCGTGACACATCCGCCCCCTCCGCCCCCTCCGCTTCAACTGTCAGAGTCGGCAGAAACTGATTCTACACTTGTGGGCCCCACCCACGAACGACTAGACGTCTCTGTGCGCAGTTGGGAGTCCGACTCTGATTCCGAAATCTTGACCGCATACATTCACTCAAAAACCGCATACAACCGTACCGTGATGGCGCCCAACAAAGAAGCGACTGTGGAACATCCAGTAGTCAAACACTGCCCTGTTCTGACTGCCGGCGAGTTATCCCCAAAGGCCGCGATGGAGCTGGACAATGCCTTTCAAGACTTCTTCACCGCGTGTGGCCGTTCCAAGACAATTGCGGAAGAAGAAAAGGTACCACTCATCTTGTCCGCCTTCAAGGACTTGCACATCCATGACTGGATCGCATCTGACCATGAACGTCTCCTCGGTCTCACTTACGACGCGTTCATGAAGGAACTGTGAGCGAATTACCTGCCCACCGACTGGATCGAGAACGTACGCAATGAAATCTTGGGCAACCGCCAGCAGAAGAACGAGCCGTTTTGGGCCTGGACGCAGAAGATGAAGGCAGTCAACATCCTCTTATGAGGAACGACGTCTCACTTCAACGACGACCAATTACACCAGCAGCTCGAAGGACTGATGGATGCCGAACTCCGTAAAGCCGCCGCCTGAAAGGGAATTAACGCAAAGACCACGTTAAAAGACTGGATCGAAGCCGTTAAGAACTTGGACGAAGAGTACGCGTACGACCAGAAGAGGTACAGGGACGCCTTTGAGGAGGACCAACGCAGTTCGAAGCGTGTCGCCCTGTCAGGAAACGCAGGGAACACAGCGCCCCGATCCTCCTCCAACAAGGCATCCACCTCGACTGGACGTGCGCAGACCGGAGGCAAATGGAAGAAGCTACCGAAGCTGGAGCAGTCGGAGAAAGACCTCCTCGAAGAATACGAGGGCTGCTGGAAGTGCCGTCAATTTTTTGCATACCACGGCACACGCTCCTGCCCAAATGAATTTCCGCCCGGCAACGGGTACCACACCCTCACGCTCAGCGATGTTCAGAAGCACCCGAAATACAACGCCTACATGGAAAAGAAAGGAAAAGCGAAGACAGTAGCTGCCGTCACCGACACGAACGAGTCCGACGATGAGGATGACGCGGTTGCAGCCACCATGAGCTCCGCACTCGGAGACGGCACCGATTCCGAGGTGGAGCACGGTGACAGTGATGTGAGTCCGCTGTTCCGTTCAAAGCACATCGTGTGGCGAGCGACACTGACGGGCCCTCGGGCTGAATTTCCAGTGAAAGTGTCCACCCTCATAGACAATGGGGCGCACTTGGTGCTCATCCGCCCCGAGCTAGTAGATTCACTTGGCCTAGAACGTCTGAAGCTTCCCGTACCTGAAACCGTCGATGTCGCTATCAAAAGCTTGAAAGAAAAGAGGAAAATTGAATTAGATGAGTTTGTAAAAATTACTGTAACATCACTGGATGGTCGTTGGACATCGCGCACTGTTCACGCCATCATCGCCCCGGGACTCTGTATGCTGATTATACTAGGTTTGCCGTTCTTAATACATAATGACATTGTCACCGACCACGCAAACCGTTCCTGCATTGACAAAAAAAACGGGTTATAACTTAATGAACCCAGACCCCTTGCCACCTCACAAACCAAAGCCGTTATCACCGAAACAAAAGCGCAGAGAGTTTGATAAAGAGGTGGAGAAAGTCAAGTTGATCAAGAAGACGACGCTCGCAGAATTATGCACAGTCATACGAGAAAGAATCACTGTGCCAGACGAACCTTCAGGTGAATTGTGCGCCCACGCAGTAGCTGCGGTAAAAGAGCGAGTAGAAATACTGGCTAACTGGGAGACGCTGCTGCAAAAGATGCAGGAACACGAGCGTCTCCTGAAAGAGGAATTCCTCGATGTATTTAAACCGATTCCGCATGTAGAC